CCACCGCTCACCCAGGGATCATTCCCATTGAGAAGCTCTCAGCCTAATAGTAATCCCAACGAATTTAGCTGCTGCTAATAAATCCCACCCCTCTGCCCCTCCCAACCTGCCTCCATGCAAATCCATTTGTAGGTTACTTGAACAATAGCGGAGCTGTAATCAGCCCTCCCGTCTGGCAGCCTGCAGGGAGGGAGGGGAGGAGGATGATGACAGTGGGGAATTCTGCTCAGCTCCTTGAAGCTGCACAGACATGTTTCACGTCCCCATTCCCATCCCCTGCGCAGAGGCAGGCAGGCAGGCAGGCAGGGGATCACATGGCTGTCTAGGCCGGGCCCAGGCCAGCGGCAATTACATGCCGTGGTGGCCCGGTGCCCCCTGCCCGGTTCGGTTCAGCCCAGTTCGGTTCAGCTTGGTTCAGTTCACCACCTCCCAGTCCCGGCCTGAGCTGCCCTGCCGCAGCCGTGCCAAGTCGCTCCGTGCTGCGGTGGGGCTGCCAGGCTCAGCCTCCACTCACAGAGCGCTGAACAAAGGAAAGGGCCTTCACGCTGGCCAAAAAATAGAGGAAAAGACCCCAGTGAAGCAGGCTTGGGGGAGCCAGCCACCCTGGCACGCCCGGTGCTGCTGGGAGAGCAGTGCCAGCTGGAGAGAAAGTGGCGGCTCCCCTTTATAGCTCTCTTTGGGGACCAGGAAAAAAAACAGTTTTCTCGCTCTTAAAGGTGATCGGTGTGGGAAGGGGGTGTTTTCCTGAAAATAAGTTGCTATTCGACAGCAGCTCACATCTTTGAGGTTTCTTTGCAAAGGGTCATAAAAGCAGCAGCGAGTGCATATGGCCACGCAGGGCTATGGGGGGAGGGCTGCGAGCGGATGCCAAATCAGCTGAAACCTAAGAAGCTTGACCTTCCTCACCTCCACCCCTGCTCCCACCGCCTCCAAATAACCTTACAAGGGCGCATCGGGAAGGCAAGGAGCCACAGAGCGGCGAGGGGAATGCAATCCCAGCCCAGGAGCAGGCAGGGCTGTGTGGCTGTGTGTCAGTCAGGGGGGAGACAGAAGGACACGTCAGGGTAGCTGCAGCCACTGTCAGCAACGCACGCTGATACCAGCAAGGTTCATTTCGTCGAGCCAAGCACAGTAGTCAGACTGTGCAATCTTGAACCTACCTAGCCCCGAGTAGCTCAGCCAGTCCAACCAGTCAGAGACCATACTGGCCGGACAGACTGGTGACGAGCATCCTCCCCCTCCCATTCACATGTCTAACTGCTCCCTTCTGCTTTTCACTCTACAGTTCCCTGAATGGCTGAAAGAGAGTGGGTTTGCTGTCAGAAACTTGAAATGACACGTAATCTCCCGTGTTTCTTCTCACGGAGGTAGGCGAGCCCGTTCCCAGGGAGAAGAGCTGGGTTCCCTCAGTGCCTCCCAGTCAGGGCCGGCAGCATAGGGCTGGGCTGCCCTGTGGCGAACACGTGGAGAGGGAGGTGTTGGGCTGGCTCAGAGGAACCCAGTAGTAGCCTCGCTCAGTGCACACACACCTAATCCTTCTTTTAAGACATACACCAGGGAAAAGACCTTGTCTGCAGTTCTTTTCACATCACCCCATCAGCAGAGGCATTCCCCTTCCCAGTCTGCATTACAGGTTTCAAGGCAGGCGCTGAAACAACAAAAGCTCAGTACACAGTTTTCAGACACTTTGAAAATAAACCCAGCAGTGCCTATTCCTATACAGGAGGGTACAACTATGCCCTCTGCATCTTCCAGGGGATGGTTGTAAGGACAACTATGTAGGTACGGAGCTATGTTTTGGGTAGAAAATGCATGCTGTAATGGATTCTGATGGCTGAACGCCAAGGGGGAAGCTGTTCTGCTTCAAGAATAGCCTTACAAGAGTCAGCGTTACAGTGACAGTTCAGTACTCTGCTGCAAATCTACAGGATGTGTCACTTTGGCAGAGAAAGAGGCTGCTAATGCACAACACAAACCATCCTACTATGAATGGAGAATGGCTGCATACCACAAAAAAAGAAAATGGCAAGACCTAGGGAAGAGTGAAGCTGCAAAGCGACTACTGCACAGTAAGCTGGGAACCTGAGAGCTCTGAGGAGACAAAGCCTTTTCCTTTGAGGGGAAGAAAAACTCAGCTCGCAAGACGTGTGAAGAAGCAGACAACCCTTTTTCCAGTGACTGCTGCAGCTCTGCAAAGCTATGCTGGCAGCCAGCCTATTTGAAGAGATTGCAGTTTCAAAACAATGTTAGTCCTGACTAGTTTGGAGCTCAAATGTTAAAGGGGAGGGGGAAGAAGAGCATGCTCACATGCACAACATTGCTGAGCAAATAAAAAAGATAACAAGGTTTGTACTACATGACACCAGTTAGCATTGGTGAACTCGAGCTCCTGATGGAACTGTGTAGTATTTCCCCCAAACGGACATAGCATCTCTTCACTGCATAAACACTTCCATCTCCAACTCACACAGAGCTGCCAATGCTTAAAAAACAAACATCCAGTGACACACATGTTCTAACCCATTTCTTAGAAAATAGGCTACAAGGCTATTAAAAGGAATGTCGAGAATAATCTAACTGGGGAAAAAAAAAAAACAACCAGCCCTCCTTGGGAAAACAAACCATTTAAATACTTCCCCATTACAAGAAGGAATGAGAGCACAACAAATGACCACCTGGACAAATAAATTCACTTACACGATTTATTCAAGCAAACATTGGTCTTTACCTTAAATAACTGGCAAATATGGGGGAGGGGAACATTACTGTAAAATACAGAAATCAGCTGAATCTCTGTACATGAGACTCGCTCAGCAGCTCCCTTTTCCTCCTCCTCAAAAAAAGGTTACAGCTTGTTTGTCAGCTGTGGACATCTTCAGAAAGAGAAAAACCTATGGAGTGGGTTCAAAGAAACGCTGGCTAATATGCCCAGACTGGCTGCTTAATGAGCCAGAGTAAAAGAAAAGGTCACATGGTTACAAAAAACCTCCATACAATAAATGCCCCGTAGCTACGGTTAACTTTAATTAACTGCAGTATTACAATTCACTTCAAGCTTATTTTCCACCTATGTCTACTGCCCCTTACCTTTCCTTTGCCTGCTAAAAATCAAACTGATGAGTCTCGTAAGTGGGCTTATGTTTCCAAAATTCTGACTGGTAAGAGCTTTTCAAGAATGCTCTGCAATTAAAGAAATCCACCAAACGGGGCTCTTTCTAACTCCAACTACTGATGACTGATTTCAAGATTACAGGAGTGGTTCTGTTTATATAAATCAGGATATTCACGCTTCTGTGACATAATTAAATGCTGAATAGCCAGTAGTTTTTCTCTTTTGATGGCAGTTGCAATTCACACATGAATATTACTTCTCTCCTCGTTAGGTTTAAACTCGAATTTCATCCATGTGTACAATTTTTTTCTCTGCCAGTCATGAGCTCACAATGTTAGTCCCCTTATCTTGTGATTTAGAAATAAACTGCATGCTTAGAAATAATTGAAAATAGGATCAGTACAAATCTATACACTAAAAAATGTATAGGTTGTATCCCATAATTAACTCAAAACATATAGGTTGGATCTAATAATTAACTCAAAGCATTATTTTTCTGCATTATTCCCTCCAATTCATTACATAAGAACAGTATGTTCTGAGATTTTTAAGCACCAATATATCACTTGGCAGAACATATATATATACACACACACACACACACAAAGTCATTGTCTGAAATCACAGATATAGTCATGCCAAAGACTAAATCTCAAAACATACCCCCCCCCGCCAAATCGCTGGAGTATATACCTATGCAAGAGAGCAAGGATCCGTAGGCACACTAAGCATAGAGTCTCCAGGCTTCTACCATCCTTTCCACCAGGAATACAAATGAAAAATGTCTTAAGAGCAAGCAGATACCAAATGCCATCCAGACTTTTAAAAAGTACCTCTTTATACAATTATGGGGTTTTGGGGAGTGGGGATCCTTAATATTCAATAGAACTCAGAGCTCATAACCTCTGACACTGTTGCATTTGGAACAGCTCTGTGTTCTGCTGGTCAAACTGCAAAGGATTTCTGCAGTGCTGCTGTTTTTGTTTTGGGTTTTCGATCTTTCCTCCATTTTCCTCACTGGAAAGGACAAAGTTCACGTTAGGTTTGTTTGCATTTTCAAGCTGGTGTGAGGCCTGTGTATTTACTTTGCCTGTTGATCACCTAACAGGTCTTGCACTGCTCCCCAATCTCCAGAAAATGTCAATGTCACATAATATAGTTAATTATACAAAGAATCACATATGATCGTTGCCAAAAGGAAAGCATTTCACTTCAGCGCTTTAAGGACGCTTCCTCACCTGAAAACACAACACAGCCCCTGAACCGTTCAAACTCAGTTATGAAAAGTCATTGCCTAAATGGAGTAGCTACCCACCAGCTGCAACACCAACTGTAAAGGCTGTTATTTCCCACTACCCTTTTTTGTGCTGTGCTCTACTACAGTCCTGCCTTACCAAGAGTCTATGGCTAATGTTGAGCTTTGAACGACTGCTCTTAAAATCAACGAAAATTATTAACCACGTGATGCTGGGTTTTTTTGTGAAAGAGGGCTTCGTTTCAAATCTCAAGCCTTATTAAATTGCACAGGCAATGGAAGCATCCTGTATTGCAAACACTGTTTGCAGCTGGAGAGCTGGGGGGGGCGGGAGGGGAGAAGGGAGGAGGAAATGAGATGCAGAAACAGTAAATAGAAAATGCTTAGTCAGCAACTGTTACTGCAACATTAAAGGTGAAATGTAAATAGGCACAGTGCCAAGATTTAGGTAAGTTCGATAACACCATCAACATCATCATCTTATTACATATATGTGAAAATGTGCGTACAAGCGCCACAATCACCACAACCAACTGCAGGCTCTTGGTATAATGGAGACTTTTAAAAAAGGCAACATGGCTTGCGCGTGCTGCCTAAGCTCTGAGAAAAACAAAACTTGCTACTCGAGAAGTATTAATATCAATTGAATTTATTACAATTTACTAAGCTCCAAGGCACATTACAGTGTTCTGTTAACTACAGAAATGTATAAAGGACAAACAGAGCATGTTTTTCATGTACAGCATTTTGCTCTACTGTTCAAAAGCATCCGTGCATCAATAAAAGCAAAAACAAAAAACACATGAAGATTAAAAACGTTCAGATCAATAGAAACAAACTGAAACATTTTCCTTACAAACTTGCAACAAAAAACACCCTCCCCCCAGAGCCACCCCACCGTTTTGCAAACAAAAAACAAAAACGAAAAAAATAAAGTGAAGGACTAACACTCAGGGCTTGTAAAACATAAGCTGTCACCATTTTTGTAGCAATCTTTTAGGCATCAACACTGGCCTTGGCAAAAAAAATTTTTTTTGTCTTTTTTTCGTGTTTTTCTTCTTCTTTCAGAGAAGTGCATACATTTACAAAAATACACACCAGCAGCAGGTAATCGCTAAGGGCTATTAACTTTGTACCTAGCCAACACACTGCCAAAGAAATGAGAACAGGTATTATGTAGTAACCAAACAATATTATATTCTGTTTAACAAAAACCAGCTCTATCCTTCAAATGAAGAAGAGTACATACCTTTGTTTCAAAATATAGAAACATACGACGAAAATAATGTCTATACATAAGACTAACTTTTGCAGTTTGTTATATTCACAATTCTACATCTTCAGGAGTCTGAAGGGATTGGATTTCCTACTCAAGGGTCTCTCTCCTTTTTCACTTTAACGTCCCCAGCTAAAATGGTCGCGATCTCGCCCTGCATAAATGCCCAAGGCACATTGGAACCGACTAGGGGGCATTTCTCTCCGCTGGGGCAGTAGACTTCGCCAGTCGCCCCTTGGGCCTTGATGCTTTCTCTGGAACAAGGGAAGCAGAACTTGTGGCTGGGCACAGAGGGGCACTGAACAAAGTGGGTGTCCTCCAAGCGTTCGTGGCAAATGGTGCAGCACAGGGGCCCGCTGTTGGCCATGGGGGAGTCCGGAATGTTTTGGGGGTGCACTTGGTCCATGGCGGGGTGGGCGCTGGGGGGAGGAGGGGCCACTTGCAGGTTCATGTCCCCGTTGCGGGAGGCCAGGCGGCGCTGGCCCGGCACCGAGGCGGGCGACACGGGGCTGGCGCTGGTCCCGCGGGTGGACGTGGGGGAGGGGGGCGAGCTGGCGTCCGTGGGC